TTAAAATATTCTATTATAATACTGTTATAGCAGATTCCAACCAAAGTAAGATAATTACTAAATAAAATGTAAACATTTGACTCGAAATGTGTCTTTTAATGAAATCAATAGCCATACTGTGTATCTATAGATGAATATTTTTTAGTGCTAGCTAAACAGATACAGGTTTTTGTCTCCATTGTATTTCTTTCTTGGTTTTTAATTGAGGTACAGGCTGAGTAACTTGTTCACATAATAAAGTAGATGACAGTGGAAAGTATTTTATTTTCAGTGTTAGTCAATTATTTGAACTTGCCAGAAATCACATAATGATTTATTATCAAATGTTATTTGTAATGATCTGTGGGCTGACAATTCATTTGAATTGTCCTCAATATTGTGAAAAGCAGAAAATTGGAAACCATCTGATTAACAAAAAGTTTATTTCTAGTCAATAAACTTAGCATTTCTGAGAAGTCTATCAAAAACATTTACCAATACTTAAGAAATGAAAATAACTATACTGCCCTTTTATCATTTAGAGGCAAAAAATCGAAAAATTGGAATACAGGTATACTTCTACTTATTGCATTTCACTTCATTGCACTTAGCAAATACGGCATTAATTACAAATTAAAGGTTTGTGGCAACCTTGCCTTCAGAAACTCTGTTGGCACTATTTTTCCTGACAGCATGTGCTGACTTTGTGTCTTGTGTCACATTTTGGTAATTCTCACAGTATTTCGAAGTCTTATTATTATTATATCTGTTATGGTTATCTTTGATGTTGCTATTGTAATTGTTTTTGGGTGCCATGAACTGTGCCCATATAAGAGGGTAAGTTTAATGTCGTGTGTGTTCTCACTGCTCCATAGACCAGCTGTTCTGCTATCTCTCCCCCTCTTCTAGGGCCTCTCTATTGTCTGAGATATAACAGTATTGAAATTAGGCCACTTAATAAACCTACAGTGACCTCTAAGTGTTCAAGTGAAAGGAATAGTCGCAAGTCTCTCATTTTAAATCAAAAGCTAGAAATGATTCACCTTTATGAGAAAGGTGCTGAAAGCACAGGCTGAAAGCTAGGTCTCTAGCACTAAAGTTAGCCAAGTTGTGAATGCAAAGGAAAAGTGAAGAAAGTTTTAGAAGTTTGGATACAAGATCAAACCACCCACAACATCCCCTAAGCCAGAGCCTAACCCAGAGCAGGGCCCTAGCTGTCTTCAATTCTATTGAAGGTAAGGAACCTGCAGAAGAATAGTTTGAAGCTGGTAAATGTTGATTCATGAGGTTTAAGGAAAGAAGCCATCTTGCTAACATAAAAGTGAAAGGTGATGCAACAAATGCTGATTAGAAACTGCAGCATTATCCTGAAGATCTAGCTAAGATCATTGATGAAGGTAACTACACCAAACAACAGATTGTCAGTGTTGATGAAATAGCCTTCTATTGGGAGAAGATGCTATCTAGGACTTTTATAGGTAGAGAGCAGAAGTCAATGCTTGTCTTCAAAGCTTCAAAGGACAAGCTGACTCTCTTGTTAGGGACCAATGAAACTGGCGACTTTAAGTTGAAGCAAAGCTCATTTACTATTCTGATAATTCGGGGGCCCTTAATAATTATGCCAAATCTGTTCTGCCTGTGTTTTATAAATGGAATAGCAAAGTCTGTATAATAGCACATTTGTTTACAGCATAGTTTGCTAAATATTTTAAGCCCACTGTTGAGACCTGCTGCTAAGAAGAAAAGTTCCTTTCAAAATATTACTGCTTACCGACAATGTACCTGGGCCACCCAAGAGTTCTGATAGAGATGTACAAGGAGGTTAATATTGTTTTCATGCCTGATAATACAACATTCATTCTGTAGCTCATGGATAAAGGAGTCATTTCAACTTTCAATTCTTAAAATTTAGATACATTTTGTAAGCTAACAGCTGCCATACATAATGATTTCTCTGATGGATCTGGGAAAAGGAGATGGAAAACTTTCTGGAAAGGATTTGCCATTCTAGATAACATTACAATCATTCATTATTTATGGGAGGTCAAAATACCAACACTAACAGGAGTTTGGAAGAAGTTGATTTCAATCCTCATGGGTGACTTTAAGAGGTTCAGGACTTCAGTGAAGTAAGTAACTGCAGATGTTGTAGAAATGGCAAGAGAACTAGAATTAGAAGTGGAGCCTGAAGATGTGACTAGATTGCTGCAGTCTTATAAAATTTGAATCAAGGAAGAGTTGTTTCTTATGGATGAGCCAAGAAAGTGGTTTCTTGAAATATAATTTACTCCTGAAGGAAATGCTGTAAATATTGTTGATATAACTGGAAAAGATTTGGAATATGACATAAACTTAGTTGATAAAGCAGTGGCAAGGTTTGAGAGAATTGACTCAAATTTTGAAAGTTCTGCTGTGGGTAAAATGGTGTCAAATGACATCACATGCTACAAAGAAATCTTGCATGAAAGGAAGAGTCAACTGATGCAGCAAACCTGTTCGTCTTATTTTAAGCAATTGCCAGCGAGGTACAATGGCTCACACCTATAATCCCAGCATTTGGGGAGGCTGAGGTGTTAGTATCACTTGAGCCCAGGAATTCAAGACCAGCCTGGGCAACATAGCAAGGCCCCATCTCTACGAAAAAAAAATTAAAAAGAATTGCCAGGCGCGGTGGCACACACCTGTGGTCCCAGGTACTAGGGAGACTTAGTTGGGAGGGTCTCGAGTCTCGGGGGTCAAGGCCTCACTGAGCTATGATCAATCCACTGCACTCCAGCCTGGGTGACAGAGCAAGACCCTGTCTCAACAACAACAACAACAAGATTGCCACAGCTACTCCAGCCTTTAGCAACTGCCACCCCGATCAGTCAGCAGCCATCAACATCAAGACAGGACCCTCCACTAGAAAAAGACTGAAAATCACTGAAGGCTCAGATTATCATTAAATGTTTTAGCAATAAAATATTTTTAATTAAGTTATGTGCACTTTTTGGATATAATTCTTTCACACTTAATATAGTGTGTAAAGTGTAAACATAACTTTTATATGCACTGAGAAACCAAAAAATTTGTGACTCACTTTATTGCAATATTTGTTTTATCAAGGTTCTCTGGAACCTCACCTGCAATGTCTCTGGGGTATATCTTATATAATATGTGTTATATATATTCTCTACATATATAATTATTAATTTTCTTCAGCTCGTCAGGTGAACTTTACCATGTTAGGGACATAATTATATTCTTTTTATACAACTGGTACAATTTACATTGATTTCTTCCCTCCAAACCCTGTTGTTTTTATAGAGCTTTCATGTGGCCTTTTTAGAGTTTTATGTTGATTGCTATTATAAATGCAAACTTTTGTATTCTGTGTTTAAGTTATCTCTTTCTGAAATTGTGTGTTATTACTAATATTCTTTCAAAAGATATTGTGGAGTAATAATATTAGGCATTGAAGTTTAATTTTACATTTTTTTTTGCAGAATAAAAATCATAGTTATATTTGTATAAAAGGATATGGGTGCATTGATAAATGAATCTCAATGTGTTTTATATATGATCCATGTAAAAATTCTCAAATACAATACACTTGGAAATTCTTAACACCATAGTATTAGCTAAAAAATTTTTAGGCCAAATATTTGATTGAAAATTCTGACCTAACATAGTATTTATTTCCTCCAAATAGTGACCCTAGTTTCAGATGAAACACAATTTTACTTTAAGAATGAAATGTCAAAGCAAGCCATTTATACATTGACAAATCCCATAAAATACTATGGAATTTCATTGAGTCTAAGATAGTCTCAATTGTTAAGTTGCACTGTTATTTTATAGTATACCAAGAAAGAAAATAATGCTGTCACTGAAGTAAAACACAGTTTCTCAACATTTAGAATTTTTATAACTACCAAAAGAACTTTTTTAGACTTAAATGCAGATTATTTTAATAATTTTAATCACTTGTGAATATTTTATGTATATGCACACACAGACATACAATGGAAAATATACATTAAAAAATTGGTAAGACATTCCTAAACCTTCTTCCCTTTCACTATCTGACTCTTCTAAATTACTTTGGAGTCTAAGTTTTCAACATTCACATCTCACACCTAAGCTTATTCTCTTTGTCAGTGTGCAATATATTTTAACAGCGAGATCCACCATTTTTTCTAGTAATTTCATCCAAAGAGCTGCACCCAATCTTTAAGTTTTGATGTTGCTATTTATTCTACCTTACTAGAATGTGTCAGCAGAAGATCTTTCAGGCAAAAATCAGGATTCATGTTTATATTCGTTTTTCAAATGCTCCTTAAAAGGTTCTATTGAAATGTGATTAAGAATTGTCCAATCGAGCCACAGGAAATAGTAAGCAAATTCAAACATGCATCGTCCATGATAACAGCATTACTACCATGACTGCCTCTTGATGAACCTAGATTGGAAGAAGTCATTAGGTGTAAGACATCCTTATTACTAATATGATAGGATGTGAAAACAATAGGTGTCCTAGAATCAACAAATTATAGTATTTAAGAAAAATCATTGTTGAAGATAATTTTAAAAAACAATTTCAGCTCTAATTAATGGCATATGTATGTGTATACACATATTATTCTCAAAAATAAAATTTTAACAGACAAGTCATTTATGTAATTCCTCGATTTTTTATTACATAAATTTACCTGTATCTGTTAAGATATTTTGGATATTTTAGCTATGTTCTATTGGAAAACTTTTCCGTCAAGATTTGAATGATTATGGTTACGACAAAATATATGTTCAACACTTCTAATTTATTATTTCATGTGCTTTTATACATAAGACTGAAAATAACCTCTCAAACTGATCATTTGTGAAGTATTGGAAAGTTCTCATTATACTTCTTGTGAACTAATATTTCTCCTCTGACCATTAAAATGTGCTTTCTTGCCTTTCCAAATGATTGGATGTTAAAGATAAACAAATAAATGACAATAGCAACTGAGTATTTCTTTATCTCCTCTCTGCTCTAGGTCCTATAAGTAGTGTTTTGGTGAATAAATACGGCAGCCGGCCAGTGGTGATAGCAGGAGGCTTATTATGCTGTCTTGGAATGGTGTTGGCCTCCTTCAGTAGCAGCGTGATCGAGCTGTACCTCACTGTGGGATTCATTACAGGTAAGTCGTTTAGTCTTCAGTTTATTCTTAACTCTTCTGTTGTTTTCAAAACTCTATGAGAAGAATGAACAATAGAAAATTCTTATTTTCTTTGAATTTACTTTTTTTAAACAATGCAGTTTTAAAGTATTTCCATCTAGTACATTGAAATTCAAGCTATATAATGGCCAAACATTTCGTTTTTTAAAAAATAAAAAAAAGTTATCAGACAAGTTACATATTATCACATAAATTTAAAATAAAACAGCTGTAGTTTGTTTTTTTTTTTCTTTTTTGCTTTTTACTTTTCAGCCAATGGAGATGGTGTTGTTGGACATAGACTTTCTGATGTAAATAAATACCTTAATTATTATAAAACTTATTTTCATGAGTTATTTCCATTTGCAGTATCTATCTGACTTTCCACTCATAATATGTTAAAATGATGCCAGAGAGATATTTTCTGGATGCACTGATTTAGCTTCAACAATAAAATTATTGTTGCTTGTTCCGATTAGTGGTAGAGCTCATTGACTCTGTTCCTTCTTTTTCTTACTGAAATGATCCTGTTTAAAAGCTTGGTGAGCCACATTTTCTTCTAACACAAATATTAAAAATGACCTACTGTCACTTGATTATAGTTGTTTCTCATGCACATATCTATTGACTCAGACTGACAACAATATGTACACTTCAAAAATCACTATTTTTTATTAGTCTAAATAAAAAATTGCATTACAAATTTATATTCAACATATTAGGAAAAATTGGACTTCAATATCTAAAGAGACGGAATCTTTCCTTTCTGCCCAGAGATAAAAAGGCAAACATATTTACACTTGTGTAATCTTACACTCATGTAGCATTTGATGAAAAAAATGTATTGAGGCTTACAGTAATAGTGATGTTAAAATCTTTCTCTTTACAATCTATCCACATCTCTCTCCTTTTTTGGTATAACAAAATGCATTTAATATTATAAATGAAAATCATCTTATATCTAAGCATTGTCATAGCGAAGAGAGTGCCTTTTCTTTTGTGTAGAGAAATTGACCACTGCATTTGACTGTAGAAGTCGGGATGGGCCTACAAGTAGGGAAAAGATGATTTTGTTATTTCCTGCACTGCAGATATAAATGGCATTATTGGTGTTCCAAGTTACAATTGTATTCTTTGCGTCTCAAATACTTTGATGCCCCCAAAGTTAATTATTAAGTCCATCTATGAGGGATTTACTTTAAATCATTATCAGCAAATACTTTGACTTCAGTTTCCAAAAGTAGACAGATCTAGCATTTAAACTTGACTTGACACATATTATCTGTGTGATCATGGGTACGTTAACCTCCTTATACCTAAGTTTCTTTATCTATAAAATTAGATAAATAATAGGTCTTTTTAAAGGAGTTATTAGAATGACTAATGTAAAAAATGAATACATAGTACTTTACAGCGTACCCAGAATTTTGCTGTTCATAAATAAATGTTTGCAAATAATCACAATGCCATTTATTTAACATCTTACAGTTCTAGAACTTACTTTATTTTGGCAAAATCTTTTTGTGTTGTTAGGTGAAGTCGAGGTCAGGAAGTCTAAGTGTTTTGCCCAGTAATATAAAATAGGTACTTTTTTGGAGCAGATCAGTTCTACTTATTTCAGGTCTATGTTCGTTTTACCATGCCAGAATGAGAAAGAGATGGCAACTATTTCCAAATGAAAATATGAATTAACATTTGAAGGCAAAAGTTCCAGGCGACAGAATGGGGAAAATGATATAAGATAAAAAAAACTTAAGCTCTGAACCATAATACCTGGATTTTAGTTTGGATTCTTCCACTTACAAGCTACTTGACCACAGGCTGGTCAGTTTTGTTATTTATAAATCGGATTTAATTACACTCATTCTGCATTTCTCACAGGTATGACTGAGGTATCGTGTTAGAGAACATGCTATTCTGTTACTTGCCAAAGCATGTTCTTGTTCCTTCTTGTCAGCTTTTAGGGGTCCTCTTACTTATAGAAAATGTCTGTATTAAAGGGTTGGAGTATTGTACACAGACCTGTGTATTTCACAACTGGAATAGTTAACCACTTTACAGAACTGTTTCAATTTAGGTAAATTTGTAAATATAGAAGAACTCTTACCTCTTTAGCCCCTAAAATAAATAGAGTAATGCCTAGTTTAAGGAAAAACAACAGATAGTTATATAAGTCAATTTTATGTAAATCAATATACTTTTTTTTTTTTTTTTTTCTTTTGAGACAGTCTTGCTCTATTGCCAGACTGAAGTACAGTGGTGTGATCTCGGCTCACTGCAATCTCTGCCTCCTCAGTTCAAGCAATTCTCTTGCCTCAGCCTCCCGAGTAGCTGGGATTACAGGCACCTGCCACCACGTCTGGCTAATTTTTGTATTTTTAGTAGAGACGAGGTTTCACCATGTTGGCCAGGATGGTCTCAATCTCCTGACATCGTGATCCATCTGCCCCAGCCTCCCAAAGTGCTGGGATTACAGGTGTGAGCCACCGCGCCCGGCCTCAATCAATGTACTTTTTAAAGGACCTTATTTATTACAATCGCTCAGTAGTACTTTAGTGAGCTACAAGAGGTAATTAATTTTCCAAAGGTGACACTCAACACTGCCAAGGAGCTCCCTAGACAGTGGGGACTTTGGCTCATATAAACAATCAGCATTAATCCCAGAATTTAAAACTATGTTTCAGGCAAAAAATTCCTTTTTACTTAGCACACATGTGCATCTATATACATTAAATGTGGAATGTGAGGGATGTAGAGCATGAAATTAATGGCATACATTCATTACTCTTTTTGTTAATTACATGGTGTTCAAACAAATGTTTGTGGGGAGACATAAGATTGTTACAAATTATGACCTTTTTAGTTTGTTTATAATTCTTCAATGCCAAAAGGAAAGTATTCACACCTTTATATTGCCCTCTTGCTCACAAGGAAGAAATCTATTCCATATGTGTGTATATAAGTATATGTCAAGAGGAAAGGATCTGTATAATTAAATGATTTTAATTGAGAACTAATAATTTTGTCCTAGTTTCAACCTATTGTATGACTGTTGATACATCATTAGAAATTCTTAGTTTTATTTTTGTGCTTTAAAATTAAAGGAATATGAAACTGTCATTTCAAGTGTTCGGTTATGAAAACCTTTTTATTTTTGTGCAATTACATTTATAATAATCAAAATGTACTATCTCATATTGCATTTTTAATTCTGCCTTTCCCACTTGAATGTAAATTTTGAGGAGTAATTTCTTTTGTGAGTGCCATAATGTGTTTGTGTTTTCCCCCACTTTTGTTTTGTTCTTTTTAGGTTTAGGTTTAGCCTTCAACCTGCAACCCGCCTTAACAATAATTGGCAAATACTTCTATAGGAAGCGACCCATGGCAAATGGATTGGCCATGGCAGGAAGTCCTGTTTTCTTAAGTTCATTGGCTCCTTTCAATCAGTACCTTTTTAATACTTTTGGCTGGAAAGGAAGTTTCCTGATTTTGGGAAGTCTACTTTTGAATGCCTGTGTGGCTGGGTCCCTCATGAGACCCCTTGGACCCAGTCAAACCACTTCTAAGTCTAAAAATAAGACTGTCACAACAGAAGACGATTCAGGCCAGAAGAAAATCAAACCGAAGAAATCAACTTGGGGAAAAGTTAATAAGTATTTAGATTTCTCCCTTTTTAAGCATAGAGGATTTCTGATATATCTGTCTGGAAATGTCATTATGTTCCTAGGTTTTTTTGCCCCCATTATATTCTTGGCTCCATATGCTAAAGACCAGGGAATTGATGAGTACTCGGCAGCTTTTCTGCTATCTATTATGGCTTTTGTTGATATGTTTGCTAGGCCTTCTGTAGGATTAATTGCAAACTCCAAACATATTCGACCTCGAATTCAGTACTTCTTCAGTTTTGCAATCATGTTCAATGGAGTGTGTCATCTCTTGTGCCCGCTGGCACAGGACTACACAAGCCTGGTGTTATATGCTATATTTTTTGGCCTTGGATTTGGGAGTGTTAGCAGTGTTCTCTTTGAAACTCTCATGGACCTCGTGGGTGCACCAAGATTTTCCAGTGCCGTCGGACTTGTCACAGTTGTGGAGTGTGGCCCAGTTCTTCTTGGCCCTCCTCTTGCTGGTAAGAACATTTTTCATCAAGAAAAATATAAAGCATAAAATTAATAACCATTAACTGAGACTTTATATACAGATTTTTTTTTTTTTTTTCTCGAGACGGAGTCTCACTCTGTTGCCCGGGCTGGAGTGCAGTGGCGCGATCTGGGCTCACTGCAAGCTCCGCCTCCCAGGTTCACGCCATTCTCCTGCCTCACCCTCCCAAGTAGCTGGGACTACAGGCCCCCGCCACCACGCCCAGTTAATTTTTTTTTTTTTTTTTTGTATTTTTAGTAGAGAGGGGGTTTCACCGTGTTAGCCAGGATGGTCTCGATCCCCTGACCTTGTGATCTGCCCACCTCGGCCTCCCAAAGTGCTGGGATTACAGGCTTGAGCCACCGGGCCTGGCTATATACAGATTTTTAAATGTGTTTTATAATACTAATAGCCTGAAGGAATATAGGCAGGTTAATTTTAGGTTTTACTATAAACTTAAAAATTTCATAATTAGTTAATTTTAGACCTAAATTTGTTTCAGAACCTGGACCTATGAACTTAAGAACTTATGTTAGACTGATAATTAGTATCATAATCTTCAGGATTTTTATCTACTTCAGTTGTTTTGGTCTCTTAAAAATATATCAGAAAAAAATGCTATTTTATCTTTATCATTGGTGAACAGATTTCTCAACTGTTTATATTGAAATGAGCCAAAAATGTAAAATATTCTCTCTAAAGGTCAGAATCTATTTTTTAATAGAGTACATTAGATATATTAATTTGAAATTTGTTACATGCTGAGAAAATACATTTATAATATCACTGATAGGAATATATTCATGTATATATTACATATAGAGAAAGACAGGGATGACTGAAAATTTATTCAGAGGTTTTTTGGGTGCCACTTATGTTCCATGTTTATAAATTGGAAAGATTACCTTCAGATTTTAAAATCTGAAATATTTTCAAAATGCCAATAAAAGTGTCTATGCTAAATTATTCAGTAAAAAGATGCAGTACATGTTTAGGGCATGACCAAAGAGTACCCTCACAAATTGAGAAGCTGGTCTGATATTTAAGAGAGAGAGAGAGAGAAATAGATAAAATAGTCATCACAGAAGCATTAGAGTTTTGTTAGAATTGCTTGTGGTTATTTTATAGTTTCCTTCTGAATTACAGTGGTGAATGCTTTAAGGAGTAAATTATGCCCTCTGAACTTCTGGTTTAAAGACATGTATAAGAGCATTTTGAAGTTAAAACTTCGTTCCATCTTAGACTTTAAATGTTATAAATATTACGTTCTGTTTGTGCACCAGCCTTTGCCAGCAACCACTGTATATTGTTTTGGTTAATACTTGACTTAGACTCTTGGCCTGCTCTCTCATGGTCAGAGTCACTGCCAGGCTAAATGTAAATTTTTCCATTATTTAGTCAGTTTTTAAACTGTTTTCTACATGACATCAAGGAACCATTCTGAAAGTGTAAAAATTCATGTTTAATTTGTTAATTTTAATGACATCATTGACTTTTTGATGGTAGTTGGTATATCTCTCAATATAAATGTACCATGACATCAAAACAATTGTCAATAAAGAGTGAAAGCCAGTAGGTCTTCTTATTTATCAGGCAGTTCATTTTGTTACATAAGATAAGCATGACTGGTCCTTCTTTTCATACAGTATTAGTTTGATCAAATGAGTTTTAGAGCCTATTCATTATCCACACAATTCTTAGTGTTAACAGAGAAGTCACCATGCATGAGGGGATGAAAAAAGAATCAAGTCCAAATACATTGTGGGGATAGACTCTAAGAATTAAAATAAAGGAATCTTATGTGGCCACTCCCACCTGAGCAGATAATGTGCATTAATATTTAGAAAAAACAGTTTCAATATTTTTGAATGCTTATTGCATTAACATTGCCAAACCATGTGCCACTGGTAGCAAATGGCAGTAATTGATTTTAGACCTATTGTTGAAATTCTCAGACTGTAGCCATTGTATATCCATTTTTTCATTCCATATCTGCCATCTGCTACCCTTAATATTTCTTGACTTTTAGATTGACTTCCCCTCTATAGTATTTGATTATTGCTAGAACTGCCTGGCCCATAGTAGGCACTGAGTTAATATCTTTGAATGATTGAATATTATTGCTGTTATTTCTGACATAGTTGCAGCATAGCAATGAAAAGTAGGGAGTGTGTGGTTTCTATTTCGTATTTGTTTTTTTTCAGACTGTACTTTCACTGCTCCTCTCAGAAAGAATTGAAGCTTTAGTTCTGGAAAGCATATCTGGTTTCTTGATGACGCTAAAAAATTCTTAAAACATTTAGAAAGTATGCTGATGTGGCAGCCCAAAGTGGTATTCACTCTGATGGGCCATGGATCTAATGCTTTTATATTTAGAAGTATAACAATCATTGTAGAAATAGAAATATTTGACTCAAGTTAGGAAGGAAAATTAAAATTATGCAATTTTTGTTATGTTTATGAATATATCATGCTTACTTAAAGCCATTCTACCATCTACCTGATTAAAACAGAAAATTTTGTTCAAATAGGTACTATATTGCAAGTAGCCAAATTTAATGTTGAGCCACTGACTAGATTCTAGGGAGAATGTTATGGATTCTGACTAAACAGACTGGTTTGAAAGTTGTATATCAGAGTCACTTGGAATGCATATGCTAATTTATATAGATTTGTATACACTAAATTTTGCTGTTAATAATTACTAAGAATTAGATGCCTGCATAAGCAAGAGACAAAACTAAATATAAGCTGACAAAATTTTAAAAGTCAGTAAACGTCTAGATTAAATGGCACCAGATTAGATTTTAAATGGTCTCAATAATCAAATGGAACAAGTAGTTTTTTACTGATTAGTTTGCCCTTAATAATTTAGACTCAGATAAAGTAAGAAACTGGGATTAGCTCAAATAGTGTTACACTTAACCAACAGGTTAGGTGAAGCCATTCTGCAGAGTAGTTGAGAATGTCCAGACAGACTTCAATTAAGAATCTAGATTCTACTACTAACGAGCTACGTAACCATGCCCAGATTACTTCACAGTACTCCTTGTAAGGATCGAATGAGATATTACAGATAAAATTCTTAGGCTAGTATGGGGCATAGAGAAAGCACTTAGTAAATATTAGACACTGTTAGGAACCATGTAAAAGTCTTTAGGTTTCTCCTAAAGAAAGTAATTTTTCTCTATTGAAGAGAAAAGGAAGCATGGAAAAGGTGAAGCAATCCTAACATGTGTACTGTAAATAGAGATATCTGTATTTACATGTATAGATATAAAAATATACCTCACTCTTGTATGTATTAATATATACCTAACAAAAAATATATACCTAACTTGTCTTGTTTGTGTATCTTAGTGGGAGAAATCATGTTTAGTAAATTTAATGTACTGGTAATATAATACTGTGAGTGTCTCTGCATACCTTTACTAAGCATATATAGAAGTCATAATCTAGATTTTTTTATTTTTACAGTCTTATTCAATATTAATTTAAATAAGAGGAATATACTTTGAAGAATAATTTATTTGAAATTTTTATCATTATATGACTGTTTTATGATGCCAACTTAAAAAGATGCTCTTTGTCTTCTAGGTAAATTGGTGGATATAACTGGAGATTATAAATACATGTACATGGCCTGTGGGGCTATTGTGGTAGCAGCAAGCGTGTGGCTGCTCATTGGCAATGCTATCAACTATAGATTGCTTGCAAAGGAAAGGAAGGAGCAAAGTGCAAGAAAGACGACCAGAGAATCGGAACGCTTGAGCAAATCTAAACATTCGGAAGATGTTAATGTCAAAGTTTCAGATCCACCGAGTGTAACCTCAGAAAGAGAAACTAATATTTAACAAGAATCACATCTCTGATTTCAGTGTTTATTGCTTTCCCTAGCAGTTTGTTTTTCATTTTGTTTTCTTAAAGTATTGGAAAAGTTTTTAGCTGAAATGAGGAGTCACAATTAAGGATGGAGATGATATTTTCCTCAATGACAAATTTTAAATTAGTTTTAAAACTTATTTGGGTAAATTTTGAGATTATGCATAGAAAGAATCCATGCTACAGGTTTATTTCCATACCTGACTCTGGATGTGGTGGTGAAAATACTAATTTTAAAGTCTCCCAGTGACTTTCGGTCTTGGTTATGTGGAAAGTTCTGAATTTCAAACCCCTGGTTTAAGTAGTTAGGAGGAGGATGCCTAATCCTACAAAGTGATCCTTAATACATTTCATTTTTTTGCTTGATATTAATGTATGAGATAGAGATGAGAGACAATTAATTATCTCCTCTTACACAAAACACATACTCCCACATGCTTACCCACATGTACACAGAGTGTCTGGAGAATAAAAAACAAATTAAAAAGAAGTGATGATTTATTTTTAAGGCAAAAAAAAATCCATGAAGACAAAAGAAACATATGTCTGTGTGCTACTTTACAATGTTAGTTTTAAAGATAAGCACATGGGTAAAAATGAGGGTGATCCTTATTCAAAAATATATCTGACTGCTATAAAAATATTTGCATATGTAAATTTGACAAAGAAAAGAAAATCAATGTTAAACTATTAAATCTGAGCACTGTTAGACTTGATTAATCCATGAGCATGATTTTTTTTTTGAGTAGGGGGCATTTGTACCTGGTGCTAGACAATAAAACCCTCAAATAATTTTTAGAATTCTTACCTAACATGTAAAAGTCTGCACGACTCTTAACAATGAGCCACATCTATTGATTTTACAAGGATTTTAGTTCATAATCCAGCAAGTAATAATCAGGGATTTTATTTTAAACAGGCCTCAATCCAGATTCGCTGTTATACTGAAATATCAAAGTAAAATCCTAGTTGCAGGATTGTGAGTAGACCGAATTCTAATTTTTCCCAACACATAGTAGTAATTGGAGGTTAGTGTTATGAATACTTCATCTGACTACAACTAAGAGTGAGAGGTGGTTTTAATGAACTCTATAAGCTGTCTCAGCTCCCTCCCTTCCACAAAATGCAAGAGTAAAAGCAAACCACAAACAGGCCTTGTGCTCAACCACTGGAAATGTCTCCTAGGATAAGAATGGCAGTACTTACTGCTGCCTTTGGACATAACTAAGCCAGGAAACGTAAAAAGCCTTCTAGAAAGAGAGGCACTGTATGACTTGCAATTGTATGTATAGTTTACAACCTGATAGCAAAAGCTTGAAATATTGCAGCCCAGGTTAATTCAGCACTTTCCCATTTTCATAACTATGTGAAAACATCTGGGAACCTGAATCACTCCTGAATACAGAGGCATATTCTTTTTAAACTATAAATACCATTTTGAGTGAGAAAGTACTTTTAAACAAGAAAGAAATTGTACAGTATGACTAAAGCTATAAATATATTTGCATCTATAAATCTGAAGTTTAACATTATGATTAAAAAGTATTTAGTGCTTGACTATTAAAGCAGTGTCATGTCACTCCTAAGATGTCAAAGCAAATTAGGCATTCATTTTTTTTATTGTAATAAAGGCAGGTGCTATTTTTTTTCTGGTAAGATTGCACCTGGATACCAGGCTTTTGTAATAGTTAACATTAAACATTTGATTCATAAAGTTAATTCACTGCTTAAGCATGTGGCTCATATTTAGGAAGCTATATACAATTCAGTTTTTCATTTAACATTTGCTCTTTTGCATATGAAGAGATACTTGTATTTTTCAAATGTTAAGTAAAACAAGATGTGCCAATATCATAGGTAAATAAATTAGGAAAAAATGTGGGACTTTACGGCTGTTTTTAATTTAGTTTCACCCAGTCTTGATTCTTGAATTAGCTATGTTTATATTTTTAGTTCTTTTTTATTCAACTCGGATTTGTCAAGAAGTGTAACCCCTAAATTGTGTAGTACCTCTCCAATCATAAATTTCCAAAAAAAAAAAAATTCTATTTCCCAAAAAGTGTCTTGAATTCTCTGAAAAGGTACATTAAACTAATATGAATATCATGTTCCAGGGGGAAATAAATGGCAAAGTAATAATCATGAGGTTTTAGGTCAAAGGCTGTATTATATATTTTTTATTACCTTCTAGTAGAGACGTTCTGCTGGATGCATTTCAGTGGCCTTCTCCAGGGAGGTTTATTTACTTACTGATCAGTTTCTCATCACGTCAAAACCAATTCACATTTGTCTGGCTGCTCTTTGGTTATCTTCATTCGTTTTTTTGAGACAGAGTCTCGCTCTGTCTCCCAGGCTGAAGTGCAGTGGCCGGATCTCAGCTCACTGCAAGCTCCGCCTCCTGGGTTCACACCATTCTCTTGCCTCAGCCTCCCGAGTAGCTGGGACTACAGGCGCCCGCCACCTCGCCCGGCTAATTTTTTGTATTTTTTTAGTAGAGACGGGGTTTCACCATGTTAGCCAGGATGGTCTCGATCTCCTGACCTCGTGATCCGCCCGTCTTGGCCTCCCAAAGTGCTGGGATTACAGGCTTGAGCCACCGCGCCCAGCCTTCATTCGTTATTTCTAACGCTGATTGTATTAAATTTTTAGAAAAGAAAGTAAAAATTGCACATTCAACGCACATGATTTGTACAGTCACACCTGGCAGTAGCACTGCACAGAGTTACAAATATGCACACATGTTAATTGCCATGCATAAATATTGACAGTTAAACCAGAACACACATGAAACAGTGACATACATACCTACAGGATTCAGAATTGTTCCAGGGTAATATAAATTATTCTACTTGTTCACGCTCCCCACCCTCTTGAACTTGTTTGAAGATTTGCTGCTTTAGCAGAATCTTTTCAAGATTGAGAAAAGAGTATCAACCTAGGATTTTCATTATTAGTCACATAAATGGAGGAGGAGATATATTTGGCTTCCGCCTTTGCAACAATTAATGCCGAACATATTTCTTCCTCTAGGGAACAATAGGTTTTAAACATTTGAGATACCATGAAGCAAAGTCAGTGTATACCACTACAATCCCCACTAATCTGTATTCCCCCATTATGAAATTGTACAGAAGGAAGGGTGTCATTAATTAAGGTATCCAAATAATTCATGGCTACTTTAAGAATTTTTTCATTCATGTTAATGGAGCCCCCCATATTTTTCACTAAAATAGGCCATCACTAATTTATGAATAGAACATTGGGTTTGCATTTTTCCTGACCTATCCTCACCTCCTTTCCTCATCATTTTTTGCGTTTACCTAGCATACCTTAGGAGACAACAGATCAGGTTTTAGTGTATTTCACATTGGAAGACATGGTGTTTTCTCAGTATAAATCTGCATGACTCATAAATATCACTTTTTTGGTACCAAATTTCAACACCTTAGCTCATGGACTTATTGGCCTCAGCCTAATACTAAGAAATAGGTAAAATAATTAGATTTGTTATGTTGGAATGTGCACTTTAAAAAATCTAGATAATTTTTACTCATTTTTTTCTGGCTGTACAACATGACAATCAGGAATATAGAAAAGACTAAAAGATATCTGATATAAATGTAAGTTTTTATGTAGATGATATAAATATGAAGAGATATTCGTGATCAGTTAGTTGAAACTTATTTTTTATCTAAAACACCTTTAAAAAATCCCTTTTATAAGTAGAATGTTGAAGACTTAATAAAATAAAATAAAAAACTATTATTTTTAGGCTTAATAGGGAGATTGGATACATAGTGGAAAGGGAACTAATATTTATGAGATGAATTTTGCTTATGTAATGCCTTTCAATATTCAAACCAAAATCATGGCAGAATTATTACCAGCTTGACATGACAGATGAATGAAAACCAAAAACAAAGAAGCTCAGCAAACTGCCCGAAGTTAAAAGGTGATATGAACCAAATTTAAAACTCAGGTTTACCTAAAACCAGAAAGATCCCCTAGAGTGTTCACTACCATGCTGCCTACCGATAGAGGCCAGAGAAGCAAAGGAAGATAAAATATAGGTACAAAAATGGTACATCCTATATAGTAATACAATTAGGTTTAACTGTAACTTGTATTATGATTTATTTAGTGTTTATTAGAGAACTGCATTTGCTAGAACCTGACTATGCAATTTCCTTTTTCTTTTTTTTTTTTTTTCTTTTTTTCTGACATGGAGTCTCGTTCTCGTCACCCAGGCTGGAGTGCAGTGGCACGATCTCAGCTCACCGCAACCTCTGCCTCCTGGGTTCAAGCAATTCTCCTGCCTCAGCCTCCTGAGTAGCTGGAATTACAGGCATGTGCCACCATGCCTGGCTAATTTTGTGGGGGTTTTTTTGTTTTGTTTTGTTTTGTTTTTTATAGTAGAGACAGGGTTTCTCCATGTTGGTCAGGCTGGTCTCAAACTCCGACCTCAGGTGATTCGCTTGCCTCTGCCTCCCAAAGTGCTGGGATTACAGGTGTGAGCCACCACACCCAGCCTTGAATATGTAATTTCTAATTGCCTGCTTTTCTCCCCAATGCAAATTATCTCAAATAATGATAATTATTATGTATAGACATAATTGCTTTAATATGACTCTTTTTTCATAAAAATAATAACATATTTGAGTCAGGCGTAATACATTTTTTTCTGAGGTTGGAGTTATCAGGAAAATGTTATCTTTTATGAATAAATAATTCCCAGATTGGTTGCTACATATCATGATTCCAAAAGTACAATAATAAGCTGGATGTGGTGGTGTACACCTATAGTCCCAGCTACTCGGGAGGCTGAGGTGAAAGGGTCATTTGAGCCCAGGAGGTTGAGGCTTCAGGGAGCTATAATGGTCCCACTTGCACTCCAGCTTAGGCAACAGAGTGAGACTCTTGTCTCTGTTTAAAAAAAGAAAAGAAAAAGGGAAAATGTACTTACTAGAAAACGTTATATTTAGAATGTTAGTGATTATCCCATTTATAATATCCCTAGCTACCAAAAAAAAAGACTGTAAGATACAAATGATTTGGTTTACCTATACAGTTACATATTAATTTTCATCATTTAATACAACTTACCCTACACTCTAGATTATTTTGCAAGTTTCTCTGAACATCTTTGTTGTCATTTGTCTCTTTGTTTGTTCTATAGAGAAAACAAGTGTCATTGCTTTTGTCTTCTCCATCTAGACTTTTGCAGTCCTTAGACTGTAGTTCTCCTTACCTCTATTCAAATAGTGCACTTGCAAGGCGCTGCATTCTTTTCAAAGTCAACTGTGATGCACGTTTATAATTACATACACATATAATTGAACATAATTTTAGAGTCTTGAAAAACTGGCACTATCATGAATGTTTTTAATTTTCTTAAAGTGCCTGACAACATTGAGTAACAAAGCTTACCATCACCACATTGCACCATTACATATTATTCTGTAGTCTCCATCAATGCAGTGACATCACTGATACATCATACCAACAAGATTTCTAACCACAACCATTCAGAGCACCAATCAGCATCTAAAGTATTGAGAATATAAGACTAATATTACAAACTTGACTCATCTCTCTTTAAAATTTTGATTTCTGCACAACCATATGCAGAGCTCATGTTTGAGAAGGCATTTAAAAGCTGAGAGACCCAATTATCAGTAATTATAATGCTTGCATAATCAAAATTATAAATTATCTTTGTTGATGCAATTAAAAATGAGTGATTTTCTGAGCTTATGTCATTTTATTATGGTTCTGATTTTCTCTTCTTTCCTATCAGTTGTTTGTACACTGGAAATTTTAGCTCTTTACAGGGTGCTACAATCTGGTTTATTTTAGTCTTCTCTACTGATTTTTCTTCACTTTAATTCATTTATGTCCAAATCATGAAAGAATTGCTGTAGTATTGAGAATGGTCATTTTAAAAGTCTCT